GCATAAAAACGAGCGCTGACAGTGGCGGAGAGAGCGGTCGAGCGAAGGATGCCCAGTGTTTCTCTACGCGACCACATAAACAATCAGACTCTCTGACTGATGAGCGGCATTAGTACATCATTGTGTCCGCACAAGAAAGTAGAACCTGTTGAGCAGGGCATGTAGCTTGCTTTGCCGACAACCGGCGGACAGTGTACTTTAGTAAGTAGTGCCATGGGAAAGTGAACGACTACTCGAGCGACCTCTACAAACGTGTCGCAAATACAAACAACAAGCAGTGGTAACTAATTGGAGGTATGCAGCCCAGGATCGAAGGGTCTGGCATAACCGCCTCGACATGTGGGAACATTTTAGTAACATCACTAACAGGGGATACCCGCACTGATATCCCGAGAAGTCTTGGTATACTTGGTACATTCCTTTTACATGCGTGACTTGGTACCTAACGAAAACTTACATACTTTGTGGCTACTGGTTCAAGCTAATACAGCCTTCACTCTCTCAAGAAAGTTAACCGCCTAAGCATCAGTTGCGAGTGGTCGATTGCTTCGAAGAAAATAAGGTCCTTGAAAGGAATAAAAAGAAAACCTGTTCGATTTTCTTGTACAGCAATCGTGGTCACTTGAGCTGACCTGTTCCGATGATAAATGCCAACAACAACAATCAGCACTGTGAAGATTATAGATAGAATAACTGCCATCACCTACACAGAAAAGCACGGTTAGTAAACAGGCCGCTGAAAAATTGAAATATAATCAGCAACTAGGATTTTCTTTAATCATCCACGCTATCAATATATGAAACCTCGGTTTTACCGAGGCCAGATCAACAGCAATTTTGCTACATCCTCTACCACTTGCTTGTCTCCAGCTTACATCTTCGAAATCCACTATGTATGTTCATCATGATTCTAAAAGTTCCCCGAATTTTTTTCTTTGTCAGAAATTTGCGACCAGCTATCAGCAGTATTTGCCGGAAACTATAAAGCGAGAGAGTGTCTTGTCTAAAATATGCGAAATGATTGTATGGAAAAAGAATGAAAGACTGATGCTGTCTGGAAAATGCCAGTAGGCGCATAAGACTTAAGAATACTCCTTAAGCATTTCGACCACAAAAATTGGTAAGAGGATTGAACACAGTTTGAGATGGAGGTGATATAATTTCTGTGCTTCTTTGCAAATCTATGCAAGTGCAAAAATTCACATTTCGAGAGGTGGTCTTTCTGTATATGTTTGTTTCCGGGATGGATTTTGCCAATCACCTTCGACTCAGCAACCAAGAAGGCTGGGAAGCTGAAATTTTGGCAACATGTCCCGATCCCATTCGCAACCCTTTCGTTTTGAGATCAACGTGCGCATATGAAGGAGTCTCACAAACGGGCGACTGAAAACAAAACTGGAGGAGCTTTGGAGCAAAGACAATTTCAAGAACCAGACGAAATAGAAAGCTGAAACTTTACAAGTGTGTTCCTACGTTTGCATGAACTGAAAATCTCAAATTCAGCTACTGCGTCATGCCAATAAACACGTCAGAGTTCGTCATTAGAAACATCCCTACTCGGAAATCAGCAGGAGAAATGCAACAGTAATTTTGCGAGAATATTTGTTCTGCATGCGGGGATTCACACACTTAAATTGAGCTTTGAACTAATCTGCCTCGCGCATTAGGGACTTCAGAAATATTTGTAGCAAAATAGCAATATCAGTTTAAAACCTTCAACTTGCACATAAGTATCAAATACAGCTAGGATTTTACAGGACGTGATTCATTTCAGAACACGCAACTGAATTAAACTGACTGACCATAACTATAATGACTCGACTACGAGCAATGCGATTTTCTATATCATATTCCACTGCATACCACACTTCAATCGCAAATACTACTAACGACAGCACTAGGCAGATAGCAAATGCACCGAGGACCTGAAAGTATTGAGACTAACAACCAACAGAGCTAATTTGTCCTGCAGTACTTCGTGAAAATACTGCACTCATTTAAGCTTCTTGCTGTTCATCAGTTTAACCAATGACTGTCTGATAACAATGCGTACCTGACTGCTAGTGCCAGATGCGTTTTACGCTGTTTTGGATAGGAATTAACGGTATGAATGGACGTAGCTCTACAGTTTTTGGCAGTATTATTGTCCTTTTACTGCTAGTGTCGGGCAAAAGGAAATCGGCTAGAACGTCGTTTTGCATTATGTCCGTTGCGTGAAATTCCACTCTCCAGCATTTTAGAAGAGAGACTGCCAAAAATTTTGCACTGTAAAATTCACCGTATCGGCGTATGAGACCTAGGTATTTGTAAAAGCCAGTTCTACTCTTTTTGCTTTTCACAAAGCATGTTACCATCCTCGTAAAATCATTGCTTTTCTGTGTGCTTGATTACTGAGAAAAAAGGTGAAGAAAGTAGTACAGACATATTTTGTGTGGGGCATGTGTGAAATTAAAAGCTCACTTTTTATGCTTGCAAGCTTGTACACAGACAGCAAATATTCATGTAAAATTGTGTCTTCTTTTTCAACCTGGCTGCAGAGTTAAATGGCTGCCAAAATGAATTTACTTTTCTTTCAGCAGGGCAAAACCTAAAGACGTCTTGAAGCTAAATTTAAAATCTTTGCATTACCCTTGGACATAGCGAAATGCCGAAATGTGACACTAGTCTGCTGGTTCTTTTTGCTTACTAAATTCAGTGAATTGACTTACACCGGATTTGCGCGGTAACGAAAGCGTTCGTGCACAGGACATGAGCTGCAGGAGAAGTACGATGGTGGCGATGGTCATTATGATGATCAGTGACACCAGAATCACTGTCTGCAGAACATAGCTCGCATAAACCAACTGGATATACACATCACCTTTCGAGTTCCAGCGTAAAGAGCAGGCGAAAATTGAGAATAGCGCAATTAGCTGCAGATTTCATATGCTTCAGCAGCGATGAGTAATATTAAATCAGAAACTACCGAATTACAGTGTTTAGATGTCTCTTTCAAAAAACGTTACTTCATAATTCAAGAAATGAAGAGTGTCATCTGCAATGGCTTAAAACGCACTGGAACTGAAATCTCACAGAACATTATGTATAGGGTTATTTTGGCCTAAAGTGTATTTACACAGTCTTATGCGTTCTTGCTTATATGCAGATACAAAAAAAGCATGTTGTGACGACCCCTTCTGTGTGTGTATGTGTGTGCGTCCGTCCAGGTATTTCAACTCACTACCCAAACAAGTTCCGGTGCCAAAACTTTGCTAGTGGGTTCCCTGACCAAGTGCCATCCTAAGACTGCGGTACCACCCCTTAAGCAAGTCTGCGCCTCGCGTACGGGAGTGTGAAAATTCTGGCGGAAAAATCGCTAACTCGGGAACCGGTAAAGCTAGAAAGCTGGAATTTTGGGATTATTTTGTCCATTCAAATAGAACACAAAGATTTTTAAATTTAGCCTCCAGATACGCGTGATTCCCGCATACAACCCCGTTAGGGTTCTTAGCGGGAAAATGGCTATCTGGGGAACTAGAAAAGATAGGTGGCTGAAATTTTCAGGGTATGTTCCCAGCGCATCTACAACATAAAGTTATCAAATTCAGTCCCCCCAGGCATGCGTACTTCTCACGTTCAATTCCGCAAAATTTTTTGGCGGAAA